TTGTCAACGTGACATCACCCAAGACAAAGGTGTCCTTGGCCTACGTCCCCGCCCTCGGCCTAGAATATTGGCCTAAAATACCAACGCACAGCAGCGTTTGACAATATTTCAGAAATACTGTACATATACCGCACGCACAGTAGTACATTACAGTACAGGTATGTATTAATATTTGGTATGCATATAATCTGTTTTGGAAGTCTGATTAAGCCTGACTGGGTTTTTTTTAGTGATGTTTTGGGGTAAAAAGGGTGCTCGCAAGTGGTATGCATGAATGTCGTTTTTTTTTTGGCTAGGCAGAGCACCTACTAACAACTGATGGGGATAATCTGGGACTGCTGTGCTGATTGCCAGTTTTCTCCTGTCGCCGATTTTGTACGAGAAGACGGTCCAAGCACCTTCTAGCATACGGTTCGCCTAGAGACACTGGCTGATTCTCGCAACTTCTTGAGCGCCAACGTTGAACTGACTAACAGCCTCGTGAGAGCTTGACAAGCACGACATCACCGGACCGACAGCCAAGACAATGGCCGACGTAGAAGCAGCCACGCAGCTCGAGAGTTGCTCCTCTGGAAGATACAGTATATTAATTGTGGCCTTTGCAAACAATCCAGCTTTCAGCATTAAAAAAATGGACGGTGATTCACATGTACTGACAGAATGCCTGGGATTGAACTGACCATCAATGCCAAGATGTGAGGCTACACCTATTCGCCAAACATGTGCTGTTTCACTAGAATAGTAAAATGCTATGTACCAGCGATCAGTCGGGCAAAAAGTCTACATATATCAGTGCTTCACCACAACTAGATTACATCTCTTGTAAGCATTGCCCGTGTCTGTGCGCTAGACTCAAATTGTCTGATCATGGGAAGCTTCTGCAACCAGAAATGAGTTGCTTGAACAGGGAACTGAGCGGACAGGCTTTAGCGTGGGCTTTTCACTACTTGTAAATCATCGAATTTATCAGCGAGCGGGTCGCGGCAGAATCGACTCTCGGCATGGTTGCTCGAAGCCTTGCAGGTACTTCGTTCTTCCTTGTCGGTACCAGCCAGGCCTACCCAACTTACACGTTCTACCCAGTAGTCCGCAGGGCAGGATGCAGTCACTACTTTCTAATGGAGCTAAAAGTGTGACACTCGTTTCGCCCTTCTCGGAATCATGTCGTATGTATTGTTACTGTACATAGCAACAAGGCCCAAAATCAGAGCTGCTCCAAGGAAGTACGAGCCTGTAGACTAGCCGCATATAATTCGGTCAGCCAACACATACCCTGACAGGATGCTCAGACACTACGATTGCGTAAAGCTTGGGGATAAAGGGGTGAAATTCCACGTCAGTTACATGATGTGAAATCGGTGGCGCTAATGAAAAGGTAGTAGATGTGACATTGGTTAAGGTTGACGGCCAGATACTGTGCATGGACGGAGAGAAAAATATAAAGTCTGTCATGTAGTGCTTTCCTTCGAGTCTTTGCAAGCTTCCCCAATGACCTTTCTTTTCGCCTCTGTTTGAGCCCTCAACTCATCCGCTAGCCTCGTCATGCCCCCAACAGCGCACCCACCGGGTGGATTTCGGCCAAGAGATCGACCAAATTTTGCACCTCAGCCTCTTCTAATTGATTTTCTGTTTGGCCAAAAACATCAACAGTTGGAAAGAGTCTTGAAGAAGCTTCTTTGTGACGTCACCAATATTCTTGGCTTATGTCGCAGTTCACTTCAACCGATAATTTCAGAGCGTGATCCCTTGGCCAACTTTCAGTCGAGAATGAGCTCCCAGATTGACTTGATCAATCAATCTGTGACGCTCATAAAGACGCAGTTAAATCAAGAACCCGGATTGGTCGCAAAACGTCTCGAAGAGCTTGAGGAGAGAGCGGACAGCTTTGTGCAACAGAAAACGCGCTTGATCGAAGCATTTATCTCGAAGTCTCAGTTCGAAATCGTTTCGGCTCTATCGCAAGCCATCCGAGACGCAAAAGCCAAACCAGATGTCGTTTTGGAAGCCAAAATTGATGTCCTCGTACAGACTATAAGCACGATCAAAGAGAGCGTTCAGGCTCACGACGATCTTCTGCAAGCCCTCCGGGCAAATACAGAAGCTCAAACGGAGGCATCAAGTCATATTGCGAAAACACTACAGGATATCCTTGAAATCACAGAGGCTCCAAAGCTGGGAGAGAAGAAGAAGGCCTCGCAGAACGAGCCAAAACGCCGAGCGCCAGACCCTGAGGAGGACCCTCACGACGAAACTCCTTCAATGGCACTTGGCACCAAGAATAACAGCCCACCGGCTATGAACACAAGAGCTGCGAAAGGAAAGGCTAGACAACAAGCTAAGCGAAGGCGAACTTCGTAGCAAGAAGACGAAGGGGGGATGAAGGGTTTCTGTAGCTCAAACTTACAGATGATATCTTGCTATTCGACGCCACCAGCGTGTGTGATGCAGCCTCAAGAGTGATATGGCTGGAGGCCACAACGTTTGGAACTGAACGAGGATCCGAGTATGGCGTACTAATTTCCACACTAACGGTGCACCAGCTCAAGGACTTTCTAAAAACAGCGGCGAGTGAGAAGGACCTTTTGAAACCAATAGGCACGAGTTACCTCGCCGGAGACCGGGTCGCCATGCCAGCGCCACTGCGAAAATGTCTTTGCCAACCTGCTGTATGTAATTATGATACAAGGATTCGACACAGAACGCCCGAAGCGACCAGGTAGAGAGAGATTGGTGCCAGAGCGTCAGGGTCTGTCAGAGAACTTACAGCGCATCGCCAAGCTGGCAGCGGTAGTAGGCCGTAATGATACCAGTGGCCATGGCATGGAGTTTACGGCGCTGCGATTTTCAAGTCAAAAGATGACATGTCTGGCCGCAACAATCATATGATTGATCAGCCGAACTCGGGCTGTGCTCGAATCGTTGGCTAGCTTGGAGGGTCACCTACGGCGTACGATTTCAGGCAGACTTGGACCGTGGTCGAATTTGTGTTACCTCGACCACACAGACAGAAGAGCTTGAAGATGCCCACTTCTTATCATGTCTTCGTGTTGGACCTTCATGGTCTCATCCTGGCTCACTTTGGCTTGTGGTCCCTAGATCACTTGATACCTTGAGCTATCAGAGCGCAACAGGTGTCGCCTGATACCGCCACTTTTAGCAGCCTGTTGGTTGGTAGCGGCACCTTTCACTGACGCTGCAGACATAGAGTCAGAGCTCAAAATGAATGTCATCGGCAGGACAATACCATCTGTAGCCCTTTCTCGCCATCATCATGCACAAAGTTGTGAAGGATCTTCGAATCCAGTCTATAGGGAAAGTGATGACCCGTCAGTTCAGCTCGCCTCGTCCGCATTGTCATCTGGCGTTTGGTAGGTTCTGTTGGTAGAGTATGCCCAGAGGCTGCCGCCGCTGAAACAAACAAGTTACGCATGTAGATTCATTTCATTTGAGTGTTGGATAGCGTTCTGCGTTCTGTACCACTACCATGCAGCAGCATGCATACTGGCAAGGTGGAAAGTTCCAGATCAGAGCAACACTGACCAGATGACGAGGGAAGAGGCAGGCTGATGGTTTTTTCCTTCTTTTTGTGTTTTCCACAGTCCTATAGATGCTCCTTGGCCACCCCACGCTCAAGAGCTGGTATCGGGGGCTTTGTAGACTTTTCGGAGTACAATAGCCTGATGGTATCGACCTGCCCACCAAAGGTGAACTGGCACTGTACTGCGTAGATGGACCCCTTGAAAGTCGCGATGGGGTGGCGTAGGTGACTCGTCCGTCCATCCACCAGTTTTGCAATGGACGCTGCCAACCGTAGACCAAGTCGCTTGCACGAACGGCATCATCTCCGCTGTCACTACCAGCACACCATCGTGCCCAGAAGCTGGGTCGCCGGGATCCCAGGGATCAGCTCCACCCGGAGGCTCAGTCAAGCTGTGGTGCCATGTACATCTCTGAAAAGAAGCCCCGAGCAGCACCACCGAGCCCCAGACATACATACCGGTACGTAATGTTTCTTTCTTTCAGTGTGACTCATACCTGACTTCGCGGGTTTAGACATCGGCAGATCCTTGCCCGTGCAAGGACTGCTGCCGTCATACTGACCAAGACCTGCCTTTTGGCCTCTCCGTCAGCTAGCGTCATAGTTGCGACAGTGACGGATTTGGGGGAACCCTGCGCTATCAGTGATTATAAATAGCAAAGTGAAGTCGGCATCGCCACAAGCAATGACACAAAAGCTCAGCATCCAAGCACAATGTCCACTTCCTCCGCTGCCTCCCGTCGCCTTCCCTCGAAGATCCGCGCTCACCGGCCCAGATCCCTGAGGTTGACAGAAGACAAGAGAACAGAGATATATACGTATGCCTTGCAAAGCCCCGAGCTTTCTTACCAAGCTATCGCCGACAAGTTTCAAATCTCGAGCAGGTATGAGAACAAGACTGCGGTCCAAGATTCAGCGGCGAAACTCAATCGCTAAGAAAATGACAGTACGGTAGGAAAGGTGATACGAGAAAAAAAGACACCACGTCAAACTACGCCTGTAGCGGATTACGTGCCATTTTACCCTGACTATCTGGAGCCGCCGCCTGCGCCAGACTTTGGGCAGCAGCAACCGAAATTTGCAGAGCTGGGCCATTGCATTTGCCACTTGATCCCCTTGGAAATGCTAGAGAAAATTGCTGGGTACGGAAACCTGCATGTGAGCAACGGCGTTGGAGGCGACGGATCAGATGGAGCAATCGCTTTGCCGAAAAGTGCCCAATCCACAGCGGGCGTGCAGTTTCCCACGCAGTGAGCCAGAAGCGAGAGACAGACACCTACTCCTGCGGAAGAATACAGCTTGTACCTCGTAGGGAATTAAAGCACATTACTAAATGACTGGTGATTACAGCTGTGGTAATCAGGATCCTCGTATGATAGCATAAATAATGCCATATCT